CTTACAATGAATTAAGGCAAAATAAATGTTTTTCTACGGAAAGTCCAATGGATTTGCTTTTTAATATTTACAATCAACAGAATATTTCTAATATAAATTCTCAAAAAGACACCAGAGAGAAAATTTTAAAAATCAATCAGACGGTAATAGACACCGGCAAGCTTTGTCAATTTCACAAACTTGTTTATTTCAAACAGCGTTGCGCGCAAAGGTTTGTGGGTAATATGAGGGTCCAACTTGCCCCGAGTCAAGGGGGCCAACTAGCCCCGGGTGCACATTATTTATTTTAAAGGATGGTAGCCATTTATGGTGCTAGAATGAGCAACGATGATACATTTCTGTGAAACTTGAAACAATGAGCTTCAGTTTGATGCCCTATACATATCTTATATTCGATCAAAAGCCTATGATAATAGATTTTTAAATCTCTTAAACAAAATTACTTTTAGGTGCAAGAATCGTTTATTTCGACTCACCGCTTAAGTAAAACTTTTTAACGTCCGACACTTCCTTAGCATTGCAGGCTACGGTAACTTTGCAAGAGCATGTGGCCAATTTTTTTACCTCGTAGTTACTTTTTCATAAATTGACGGGGGGCCAACTTACCCCGGGGTCCAACTAGCCCCGGTCTCCCCTACCTAGATCGATCCAACCGGATTGATCCATCTCCAAGCGATTTCTCGCTAAATTGCTGTCAGCTTAAGCAGTTAGATATCTGGCACGCCTACTGAAGCTGCTAAACGATAATTTATTACCCCCTAGCAGCTTCAGTAGGCGTGACAGACATCTAAGCCGCCTAAATTGATTGCAATTTAGCGAGAATCCCCGATTAACAGTTAGTACGATAAGGAATGGTCCCTAGGAATCGAATTGGATGTACTGAATGGCTTTCTTATCACTTCAGATTCAAGGAAAATGGTACGAGATAAAATTCTACGAACCTAACCTCAACCCAAACTGGTTGTGGATTGATTATACTAATGACTTCACCGTTATTGAAAATGGGACACTGTCATGGGAACTGCGGGGAAGGTATGTGAATGTTTTCAAGTTTTTAGCAGATGAATTGTTTCATTATGTGCTTCATCGAACAAATGAATTTCTCTCGAACAAATTAATATTCTACAATTTTCACTTGGCTGCGATAAATGTAACCATAGTTTTTTCGTAGAACAAGAAATGCGTGCTTGTGTGTAGGGGAGACCGGGGCTAGTTGGCCCAGTTAGACACTTTTGGCCTTGTAGAGCCAACTAGGAATGGGTTAGAGTCACAAAACCGGTTTCAAAGTAAGCCCCATGAACTAAGCTACGTATGCAACGCCATTATTTTTCAAATATAATGCCAGACGGCTCACAATTTGANTCTTATATTCGATCAAAAGCCTATGAAAATAGATTTTTAAATCTCTTAAACAAAATTACTTTTAGGTGCAAAAATCGTTTATTTGGACTCACCGCTTAATTAAAACTTTTTAACGGCCGACACTTCCTTAGCATTGTAGGCTACGGTCACTTTACAACAGTATGTGGCCAATTTTTTTACCTCGTAGTTACTTTTTCAGAAAATGACGGGGGGCCAACTTACCCCGGGGTCCAACTAGCCCCGGTCTCCCCTAGTTATTACCATGCGAGTGTTCGGCTGTTTTCAGAGAGGTAGCGTTGGCTGCACTTCTCCCAGCGTGCTAACAATATTATTGCCATAGTTTCTTTCAAGCAGGAACTAAGCAGCCTTTTTTTATGTACATACATTGTGTTTTTTTTCCTTTTTTTGAGTACTGACTTATCAAATTTATTTACGCCGTAATTTTTTGATTTAAGAAAACACAGTATAAAACGTGACGATGATTTTCAGAGTGGCGGTCGACCCTGAGGAATGTTTTCACTACACTCGTTACCTTGAACCAACCGGCACTCCCGGCAACTACATCTACTTTAAAAGTAAGTTTTACTGCCTTGGTGAATTAGACATAAAAGCACGAGACTTAATAAAGTAATTGCAATCCGTCGACAAACCCAGGGGCCGTTGGGTGACAAGGTTTCTGAAGTCCGTTTTTTTTTTAAATTATTAAATCTCAAGCATTGTATAATAGTACGACGTACCTGTGGCATATGCTTCTAAAGATCGTCGATTGATTAAATTAAATAAACCTGCAGTCGTTAGTCGTTGCTTTAAAATCCTATGATCCTAATATGATTTTATTTATTTATTTATTTTATTATTATTTTTTGGGGGGTGGGGGGTGGGGAAGGGTAAACTGCTGTTGATACTTTTAGGAGAAGATAGTAATGCATTTAAATAGAGAATTGCGGTATTTCCTTACTTACATTGGCACGTAAAAGTACATTGTGTAACTTCACTAGATATAGCCTTTGGTATTATACATGTTAAATTGAGGCAAATATCTTTGTAGAACAACCTAGAGAAGTTTTTGAAGTAAGGACAGTCTAAATAATGATGAACAAAACATTTCAGACGGCGTCAAAGACAGGGACGTTGCGTTTGTTACTACTGATTACGAAACGTATCTCATTACGGCGGACCAAAAACCAACCGGTATCTCGCACGTCACTGTTTGGGGACGTGCCTCCTCTCTCTCTGCTAATGTAGCTGCGCTTGTAGACCAACTTATTATCAGTGAGACTTGTCTCGGTTCTTCTGACTTTGGCGCCTTCCACAATTCAAGTCACACCAACCGTAAGTCAATGTGATTTATTTGAGTTAAATTAATAGTACAGAACGCAGGTACTCATAAATGCAGGTGCGCTGTTATTAACTTTTGCCTTCACACACTTGCTTTGTGTTTTTCTGTCGTAGAGTTTTGATAAACTTGTTCGTTTTAATGTTCTTGATTTATTGCCACGCGATGCCATGGATATACATCCAAACAAGTGGTACAATTCATATATGTAATTAAATGGTTACTGTCCTTTTCTAAAGCACGGAGAAATAAGCATATATTATCTTTCTATTCTTCAGCATGCCCATAGAGGAAACATGGACCAAGCCAGACGAGCGCCTTCATGAGGCATTTCCTATATCGACAATGATTATCAGTGAACTAGTTCTGTAGTACTGAATATTCGGAATAAAGTTTCTTGCGTGCAAACAATATACATGTTGACGAGTTGTCTATAATAAAGAAATGAAATGCTCGGAAATCATTGTAAAAGCATGGTTTAATATGGAGATAGTTACTTACGGATCTCATTTCATCATTTACAGAAAAGCAGAATAGCTTCAATGAAAAGTAAATTATTTTTCCTGCTTTTACAAAACTTTTTATTTATAACTTGTCGTATGCATTAGTGTTTAACGAATTATAGATTTTCACTTCATCTTTCTATTTCTTATCTATTGCAAGGCTTAAAACATTTGGAGAAAAATCTTTGAATACGTGAACCAGCAGGAATGAAATCAGTTACCATCAGAATTAAAAAGGCTCAGAAAATGATTTAAAAAAAGTACTAAACTTATCTTTTCTAAAATATTATACACGATGTAATTCTTTTTAACTTTGCAACTTTGTTAAAAAAAAGATATCTACTGATTTAAAGCAGGGTATATGCTGTTAAAACCAGTCTGTTTACTGTCTTAAAACCATACTTTTGTAACACAAAAATGTAATTGGTGGAACTCTTATAATTTTCAAAGCCAAAACAGTACAAATTTAAAGGTTTTTTACATTAAACAAGCACGGTCGTTCTTAAGACAGGCTAGATATTTGCTTTTCTTCTTAGCATTGTTCTTTTGCTCTTGAAAACATCTAAGATAGGAAGATTTCCCTTTCACCCAATGTTCATTTCAATGTAAAGACTGTTCGATTAAAACAGAGGCAAAAGTATAGAAATACTGAAACAAAATTAATTTTACCCTCTCAAGAAAAAATACTTTATCTCCTTGTAAACTACAATTGCGTGTAACGTGTTATATATCAGGATAACCTGTTTTATCTGCACATACGCCGTGCAGAGGTGATGAACATATTTTATATATCTTATGAACTTTTGGAACAATTTTTTTCATCACACTGATATGACATTTACAGCACAAAGTGAGGGTTAGCTAAAGACAAATTTATTATACATTGATAAGTAATGAATAATATTATTTTTCTAAGTAGCTGTTCTATATTTGCATGCATTTAAAACAATACATGACATTTAAAGGGCGAACACATTGTATTAGGTAATATACGCTAAAATATCTCAAATGCTGATGCTTACACTTATAGACCGGTAAAGGAATTACGAAGATACGAATAAGAGTCTTTAAAATCTTAGCAACACGCACACACATATATTCAAAAAATCCTGAATTGGGTCAGGTACATGGCACACAAACATTTGCCCTGAACCAAACAGTTGGTTTTCTCATCCATGGGGGCTCTTATCTCTATTTTAAATGGAAATGCCTGTAACGTTCAATATCAGGGTAAAACATATTCATGATGATTAATATTCTTGAGAGCTAGGTCATGAAGTATTGTAAGCACTTACACTCTTGCTAATAATGATGGGGTATTTTTTTCATGTATTCGATTCGTTAAGTTTCACTGTGCCAATTTTCACAAAACTATTGATATTCCTGGCTAAGTTATATTCTTATAATTTTGGCGAATTTGGCTACGAATAATGTAAAAAAAAAATTGTAAAAGATTTCATCATACGGCGCCTGGGGCAAATTTAGCTAGGCTTAAAGTCGGCTACACCAATGATTTTGTGAAAACTACCACCAGAATAAATAAGAAAGCAGCAAAGCAGTCAAACAGACGAGTGAATACTAATAGAAGCGGAGGCATTCAAACAGTTTGAGGAAGTTGAATGGGATAATCAGGGGCGGAAATAGGATTATTTGCAGGGGGGGGGGGGGCACGGGGGCGAAGCCGCCCCCCCCCCCCCCCAACATTCATTCGATGCAGATATCGTAAAGAAAAGGGATGTTGCGGTGTTTAAATACTCGAAAAAATTGATTTTACCGTCGTAAGAGGGGAGTCTTGTCATATCATAAACTCTCTTTATTGGCGGCAAAATATATCACGACGTCAGTTCAAGTTGATAAATTCACATCTCGAAAAACTTTGTGATAAATGCTTAGCCCGATGTTTTTTCTATAATCATATTTTTTATCACTGACATTCTCTATTACAAACAGTAAAATGATTTTTTTGTCGTTGCTTCTGCATCAAAAAGAGCTTATAGTCGACATTGTCATCATTTTCAAATCTCACTCCAGTAGCGAACCATTTTCAGTCTGCGTGGATATGGGCAAGTGTACTGTACTGCCGCTAGTATTAACTTCTTTAAATAATTTAAAGGCGAATAAGAGCTGAAAATGCTTAATGCAGCTTTCGTTTTTTTTTTTTTTTTGAAGGGGGTGGGGGTGGGGGGCATGATTCAGATGATCTGACCAGTCGAATTACATAAGCCTAATACATTGTCTCTAAATCAGCATTATATGGAGGAAAGAGGGTTTGATGTTTTTGTTTTTAACAAGCTAAAACAACCAATAACCTACATATAAAATGATTTCAAATAAAACAGAATCAATGGAACATACGGTGTCCTTTTAAGTGGAAAGGGTTGCAGAATTATACAAAAGTTAAAGAAGGACAACACTTCTGATTTTGGTGTATAACTGTATTATATACATTAATAATAAACATTAATTCACCAACCAGAACCACATACTGCATGAGAGCATATTGGTGTTAATTTTTTAAAAACTTTCTGTAGCTGCTCATGCCATTTTCAATTAAAAGTATGCAGATGAAATAATTATATAGTTCAATACATAAAATTAATATTAACTCTTTTAAGAGTAACAAGCTTACAGTATGTGTAAAATACTTTAGATATGTTTAAAGGTATTATTTAGAAAGAGACAATTAATTGTCTAATCCAAATAATATGATTCTTGTGTAACTAAAATAATACAGAACATTTACCAAGTGAACACATTAAATTTTTACTCAACTACCAAGGCTGTCATCTTTTAATCTTTAGTATTTGGAAAATGAAAATGTGTGTACACAAATAAGTAATAGAATCACACTAATTATGTTATCACGTCTGTGGTAATTTATGATTTAAAACATAAAAAGTTACAAGAACTTTTTGCAGTGTTTTTGTTTTCAATTCCCCCTACATTAACATGTAAATATATGATATGAATTTTCCTCAATAAATGGGGAATTGTGTCTTTTGAAATAAACAAATCACAATAAAATGTAAATATCTGAATGTATAAATGGATGTGATTTAAAGAAAAATATTTTCGCTTTTAATTCTTTTTTAATAAATTCATTTTGCCCATATCCAAAAGATTAAAAAACCAAAAGGCTGATATATTTTGTGCTTTTGAAAAGAAGAGGGTACTTCAAATTCATATGACCACAGATCACAACTCTATAACTTTTCAAAAGACACTGGGTTGGTTTATCACATATTTGCCAAATAACATTTTTTGTCTTGTCAACCTCTGTCTGATTGCTTAAATGCAAAAGGAGCAAAAATGTAAAAGAAGGCGAAGAGATTATGCATTATCACATTAACTATCTTTAAAACAACAATTTCCTTCAATCATCTGACTTAACATTGCTATTCCATACTGTCTAAACAAAGTTTTTTGTCATAACAAATACAACCAATGTACAACACATAAAAATTGCATTGATAACAGTAAAACATGCACAGCTACCGCTTGCTCACACTGCTTATCTTTCACTACGCATGGCACTTTGGAAGTCATTTGATCTAAATGATTTTGTCCTAGAAAGGCCCAGCTGGAAGACTAGATCATACAATAAAGCTATGACAGAAAGTNTATAGTCGACATTGTCATCATTTTCAAATCTCACTCCAGTAGCGAACCATTTTCAGTCTGCGTGGATATGGGCAAGTGTACTGTACTGCCGCTAGTATTAACTTCTTTAAATAATTTAAAGGCGAATAAGAGCTGAAAATGCTTAATGCAGCTTTCGTTTTTTTTTTTTTTTTGAAGGGGGTGGGGGTGGGGGGCATGATTCAGATGATCTGACCAGTCGAATTACATAAGCCTAATACATTGTCTCTAAATCAGCAATATATATAGGAAAGAGGGTTTGATGTTTTTGTTTTTAACTAGCTAAAACAACCAATAACCTACATATAAAATGATTTCAAATAAAACAGAATCAATGGAACATACGGTGTCCTTTTAAGTGGAAAGGGTTGCAGAATTATACAAAAGTTAAAGAAGGACAACACTTCTGATTTTGGTGTATAACTGTATTATATACATTAATAATAAACATTAATTCACCAACCAGAACCACATACTGCATGAGAGCATATTGGTGTTAATTTTTTAAAAACTTTCTGTAGCTGCTCATGCCATTTTCAATTAAAAGTATGCAGATGAAATAATTATATAGTTCAATACATAAAATTAATATTAACTCTTTTAAGAGTAACAAGCTTACAGTATGTGTAAAATACTTTAGATATGTTTAAAGGTATTATTTAGAAAGAGACAATTAATTGTCTAATCCAAATAATATGATTCTTGTGTAACTAAAATAATACAGAACATTTACCAAGTGAACACATTAAATTTTTACTCAACTACCAAGGCTGTCATCTTTTAATCTTTAGTATTTGGAAAATGAAAATGTGTGTACACAAATAAGTAATAGAATCACACTAATTATGTTATCACGTCTGTGGTAATTTATGATTTAAAACATAAAAAGTTACAAGAACTTTTTGCAGTGTTTTTGTTTTCAATTCCCCCTACATTAACATGTAAATATATGATATGAATTTTCCTCAATAAATGGGGAATTGTGTCTTTTGAAATAAACAAATCACAATAAAATGTAAATATCTGAATGTATAAATGGATGTGATTTAAAGAAAAATATTTTCGCTTTTAATTCTTTTTTAATAAATTCATTTTGCCCATATCCAAAAGATTAAAAAACCAAAAGGCTGATATATTTTGTGCTTTTGAAAAGAAGAGGGTACTTCAAATTCATATGACCACAGATCACAACTCTATAACTTTTCAAAAGACACTGGGTTGGTTTATCACATATTTGCCAAATAACATTTTTTGTCTTGTCAACCTCTGTCTGATTGCTTAAATGCAAAAGGAGCAAAAATGTAAAAGAAGGCGAAGAGATTATGCATTATCACATTAACTATCTTTAAAACAACAATTTCCTTCAATCATCTGACTTAACATTGCTATTCCATACTGTCTAAACAAAGTTTTTTGTCATAACAAATACAACCAATGTACAACACATAAAAATTGCATTGATAACAGTAAAACATGCACAGCTACCGCTTGCTCACACTGCTTATCTTTCACTACGCATGGCACTTTGGAAGTCATTTGATCTAAATGATTTTGTCCTAGAAAGGCCCAGCTGGAAGACTAGATCATACAATAAAGCTATGACAGAAAGTTCTGTTTATCCATTGCTTAGCAACTCGATCACATAAATTTCTTTTGAGGAAGTTAACAATTATTATATTGCAAAATAGAGAGCTTCTGCACAACACTGTTTACATCAAGTCTTATCCATATGACTGCAACAGAACTATTTTTCTGTATTGGTGGCTTATCTTCTTGATCAGCTGCCTGATGGTGAGTTAATTGCTCTCCTTCCATGCCATTTTTGCATTGCCACTGAACTTCACTTTAATATTCTTCGCAAAGAATGAGTTAATTTGGAACCATTAAATCTATTTTGACTGTTTATTAGATTTCTTTGGACTCTCTAAAGGATCTGTTTCCAGACTTGTTGTAGGCTTGAAGGTTATACCTGGAAATGAAAAAATTCAAAATATAAGTTTCTTATTAAAACGCACATGGAAATGATCTGAAATGTTAATTAATATTAACTAAAATGCAAATTATCACATAATACTAAAGATTAAGACAACAAACTTAAGGTGGTAAAAAAAGAAAAAAAAATGATATGATCCCCATCTACAAAAGTTCTAATAAAACTTTGTCAACTAAAATGATAAGTTTTTTCAGATCCAATTTCTTTTTTTAATCACTCACCAAGCTGTAGTGGCTTTGTTGAGATCCAGTTCAGAAAGGTCAATGTACACTCTTCCCATGTCGTGTTTTCCCTTAGAGAACACCCCCACCGAGTTCTTCACCGCAATGTCCAGCGTCCTTTGCTGGGCATCTCTCTGGTTGACTGCAAATTCAAATCTGAAATAAAAGACATAAAATACTAACAAAGGGCGTCTCTCTGGTTGACTGCAAATTCAAATCTGAAATAAAAGAGGGATGATTTTGACAATTGAGCAGGTTTTCACATATATGAAAATGCACGTAGTGACCCTAAAATGAGGCAGGTTCAAACAGATACCAAAAGTAACCTGAAATGAAGGAATAGGCCCTTTGTTTTTTGGAACTTAGAACCACCGGTTAGTTTGGTGGGTTGAGGTTGGGGAGAACCTTAATATGATTATAATTGATCAAGATGAAAAATTCACCTGCACCATGTAACAGTCTACTGATCTGAAAGTTATTGGGGGCACATTAATTGCACTAGCTGGGTTGGTCCAATTGGCTAAAGTGCAATCAGTTGCAGTGTTTGCCTCTTAGGAAAATTAGTTGCTGGACCGAAAGTCCAACCAACTGGAATAGTAGCTAGACTGAATGTCTGCGGGGTGGGAAAACTTCTCAGCTCGTTCTGAAAGTTGTCAGCCCCAGGCAGGCGGTCCAGCTTTAATTTAAAATCAGCACACCATAGTTAATTACCCCCTAGCTGCTCGGGGAGGCATGTCAGACAATTAAGCAGATTCCAATTAATACACTTTAGCAAGAATCCCTGGCAACATTGGACTGACCCAGCTACCATGATGTGTGAATCTCAATGCGGTCTTAGAGTCTGTTCGCCCACAATGAGTGCACAATTTTATTAAATAAAAGACAGGACAATATTCACTTACGTCTCATCAAATATGGGGTTGAGGTTGCACTTGTGGACCTGTGTTTTCTTCTTGGTGTGCAGGTGCCTGTCTGGCAGCAGATACAGGCGGACAAAGGGGTCAGCCAGGTTGCTATCGTCTGGTGGAATCAGGGCGCTGGAAGACGGAACAACCCATGTTTAATACAATTTGGTCTATTCATACTTTTGTACAACTTTTGTGACGTGAAGGATTGCCCAAGGTTTAACCAGTCAAACACTGCCCTTTTTTTTTAAGTTTACAACTCTGTATTTACCTTCTGGTCAAATGCTGCAATATTTACTGAAGAGATGAAGATTAAAAGTAGGAATAATGAAATATATTTATTAATATAATCATTTTGCGGTAGTAATATCATTGAGGTCATAGTATGGCATGCAAATAATGAAACATTTGCCTGAGATTTTAGAGAAATGTGGTATAGTTTGGTATAGTGTTCTGCTCATTTAAAAGTTACGGTAACCATTTGTAAAGAACATTGTAGGAACACAATATATTTACATCAATCTCACTGCACAACAGTTACCCTCATGAAATACATAATCCCCAAATGGTTTTTCATTTAACCACCTAAGCATTTATGACTTTAAATAATTGCAAATTAAAAAATGTAAAATTAGAGCCCAATACTAAATTTAAGCAGTGCAAGTGCAGTGTTTATTCTCTTTAATTTAGGACGAACCACTACAAACCTGCTTTAATTCATCTTATTCCCTCATTATTAAGCAGTTATTCAGTAATAAATGATGTCGCCAGGTAGGCACCCCTATAAATTATATACTAGTATGTGCTACATTACATTAGTTAGTACTTGTAATCAAATCCCCACAAATAATTTTCAGGAGTTAACCTTTTAAGAACTAAAAATTTTGATCATCAAATTTCAAGATTCAATTTGTTTAGTATAGATAAAAAAAATTGAACAATACCCTGTAACTTTATTATTTGAATTATTTATATATTTAATTACATTACAAAAAATGTTACAATCTATCAGTTAGAGCTCAATGAATTATGATCATTATAATAATATTATAACTATGATTATAATAAATGATCTATGTGTGAGGAAATGCTAATATGTGACCACACACCTGACAATCAATGCATCTGCTCAATTCTCTTTATTTTATGGCAGAATATACATTTCTCATATTGATGGTTTATTTTTTATACCCTCAAAAAAAGGATGGTTTCAAAAAGCTCCTATAGCAGACTGAAATCAAATCACTCACTAATAGCCTTAAGTTTTTTTTTCTTTCTTTCTTCTTTTTTTTTTTTTTTGGGGGGGGGGGTAGGGGGAGCAAACTTCACACTCTACATTTTGTACCTAAGTGATGAAATCTTACAAAGAAATTGATCATGGCCATAAAAATATAAAAGTACATTTCATAAACTAAAATATTAAAAGAATACAATTTTACTTTCTGATCACAACTGCATCAAACTAAATGAATTTTATCGACCAAATTTTGTGAAAAGAGAAGATTAAGAAATTCTGAAAAATGAGGATTCATGTCAGACAGAGAATTGTTAAGAGTTCCCTAGATAAATATTTTGACTAAAATATAGAACAGCAATGCTTAAATTTTGTAAGAACTCGCAAAAAACATTTAAGGAGTCACACACACACACTTGTCCAGTGAAGAAGGTTATAAAACAGCATCAAACTAATAACTATCAACAATGATGCAACTCTTATGTTGCATTTTTCATTCAAATTGCTCTCAGTTCAAACTTTGGTAAATTCATCATGCATAGCACCATAAAAAAAGGATCTCAATTGTTTATGAATAAATCTTACGTTTTTTTTAAATGCATTATGCTTTTATATGATCATGAGCAGATGGAAGATTTGGAATCATGGAACCCTGTCAAACAACAGAACTTATTATATCATCCAAAAAGGCAAGCTACATATCATCTGATCATCTGATTTTTCTTTTGCTAAGGAAAAAAAAAATCATCCTAAAATTACACAAATTTCAACATAATCAATAGGCAACTGTGCATAAATATATATGCATTTACATATGCATAACATCGTCAGCCATTATCAATATCTCAGCAGATTTACCCTCCACCAGATAGCAGCATGCTAGCAATTAAAAAGCACAACTGACCTGTTTTCACGGCAAGACAACCTACACCAACAAAACTATATTTGAGTGTCAGTTTCATCCATGACCTAGAAAGATCTCTTTCTAAGCCACTGGTTTAATGCAGCTTTTACTTAAAACAACAACTCAGTAGAGCCACTGAAAGTTGCAGCCAAGATGGACTGTCCATCGTAAGAAATTATATAATATCACATAACGAGACATACAGAATGAGAATTCAGAATTAGGAAAAAAAAAACGTAATTAAAAATTAAGCAGAAATCGAGATTAATAAAATTTGAAAAATTTACATTGAATAAGATATATCCTACATTGAAAAATCAAATCTATTTCTTAAAGGCAATCTCTGATGTTAAATTACAGTTGAATTTAAGCAGGGGCAGAAAAATTTCAATTTGTTCAGATTCTGGCCACTCTTTCTGAGTGTCTGGAAGGGCCAGCAGGTGCAAAAGATCTTGGCCCTGACTAAAAAGATAGCTCATTAGTTTTCAAATTTTTAAAACTTTAATCTTATTGCCCTGGAAACAGATCTATGCATGCATCCATAGCACATCACCGCTGCAAGCTGAAACTACAACCACATATAAATAAATCCAAAGCACAATTTTGTTAGAAGGGAGCAGGGATTAGAGAAATAACACTGAGGAGATGCGATCCAAAGTTGAACCTTTTCTTTTGGGGTGATGTTTCCTCTTTCGCTACAGACTCCTTGGTGGGTACCACATCAGCGGTATTAGCACGCGGTCTGCTAGGAGTACCGCCTCCTTTGTTGTTGTCTTGGTTACGGGATGTCCTCAAACTTGCCCTCCGTCTTATCTTTGGAGTGCTGAATGACCAGTATTTTTTTCGTGGACTAAGCTCACTAAAAACAACAGAACTATGTAGATCTCTATTGGGCATCTTAAAAACTTTTTCATGAATTTATGAGAATAAATAAAATATATAAGTGTCATAATCCATATTCCTGAAGGCCATTATTTCACAAACATTCATTTCCAAAATGATATAATAGAGTGCTATATCTGAATGCAAAACCATAGAATTATTTACAAAAGAAAAAAAAAAAGTTTCTTCTAATCTCTTGCCTCCCTCTTTTCATGTGATAAAGCACAAATACAAATTATAAATATTCAAAAAAGATCATCATGCTTTTTGTCTGCCACCAAAGTTTTCCCAACATTTATAGCAAATACTGAAAATCTATCAGAGGAGAGCCACAACACAGTTACCCTGAAATGGAAACAGTGGGGTGACTTGGGGTGGGTAGGGTGTGGGTGGTAAGGGGGGTTGGGTTGGGGCTCATATACTTTATCCTTAAAGCAATTTTGAGTGCATGTAACTTTTAATTTTTTTGTTTTGTTTCAAATATACACATTTAACTTTATGAACTCCTATTCATACTGATAATTATGATTTGATTTGAAAATGTTGTAGAATGTACAATTCTGAAGCAAAACGTTCAAGTTGTTTTTAAATTCATTTCATGAATTTTTACAAAGCTTTTGTCATTTTGAACTTTTTCCTCTCAAAAGCCCTTCAGTTTCACAAATTTATAATTATAATGAGAAGTCTAGCTACGTTGTGAATGCTTATAAGTTTTAACTTTTAAGTTTTACCTTGAAATGTTATATCACAAATAATTATTTTAACTAACTGACTTTAAATTAAAGCTATAATAAAAGGCAATAATGAAGCACTGAAATCCCTAACTATACATGATAACTGTTACCTGGAGTCAAGAGACAGATGGATATTATCTTAACAGTTAAAATCTAAACTTAGATATAAACAAAATATTTCTTATGTGTCACTGACTTGTTTCTACTCTTGCTACAAACCTTCACAGAAGCCAGTCCCAAACAAAGAGTAAACACAGAGGCAGATGCATGCAAGCAGTAGAGTAAGTCAAATTTCAGGTTTTGTTTTCATTCAAACTATAAAAAAGCTTAATGTTTATATAAATAGAACTAAACAACACTTAAATTCACACTAATGAAGCCTCTTCTAAACTACACAAATAAAGATATCTAGATACAATGATCACATAAAAAATTATGATCTATCAAAAAATTTTTTTCAATAAAACCATGACATTTTTTACTTTCCCTAACTCAATATGCTTCAACAAAAATGGCTCTCGTTGAAGTGGCTTTACACATGATCAAATTACAAATTGTCTTCTTACATTAAATTCAACATCTCTTCACATACAGTTGGTAAATTAGTTTGGTAGAATTGATGAAGAGTAAAATGAGCAAGTTATTAATACACAACATTCAAGATTAATAAGCAGGTTTCTTGTAAATTATTTATATATTTATTGGTAAAAAGGAATTAGGTCGTTATCTTTATATAATTAATACAATTAGGTCATATATTGTAGAAGGTTCAACACAGGACAAAGTCAGAGCTTCTGTTATCCACACAAAAAAAATATTAGGTCACATACACAGACAAAATACAGACGGTGGATAAATGTTTAGACACAGAGTGTATGTACACAACTGATAAAACACTTCAATGCTGTATATTAACTTACATGCACTTGTGGACGACCACCACCAGTCTGTTTCTTTGGCCACTGTAGCGTATAGTGATCTGTATCTTGCCCAGTCCACTGTCACTGCCCATTGCACTAGTTTTACTGGAATATATGATATAAAATTATGTCCTACATGTTACAGTGATTCTAAATATGATTATCACAGAGATTAGACAACATTGTAGTTTGGTGGAAAAGCAATATGAAGAAGAAACATATGAAATTGGATAAATTGCAAGGGGATCCTCATCATTCTTTTTTGAGACACCCAACTGATTTCTGTACAAAAGAAATTAGAGAAGCGAGCCTGTGTGTGCATAAGAGAGAGAGAGAGAGAGAGAGAGAGAGAGAGAGAGAGAGAGAGAGAGAGAGAGAGAGAGAGAGAGAGAGAGAGAGAGAGAGGGGGGG